ATCTTCTCTTGATGCTTTCTGCATCATTCAGTAATTTGCCCAGAGAATCTTTCAGTAATGAAAGTCGAGGTTTGAATTTTTTCTTCAGTTCCCCCAGCTTGAGAAATGCTGAGCGTGTTCTTCCTTTTTGATTTTCTGATTCCAGATCTTTCCACATTCAAAATGATGGTTGATCCTACTGATATTTAAAATACTGGTAACATAACTGCCATCCTTACAGAAACATACAAGCCACCACAGACTAAAGGTGTAAATCCATGAGATGGGTTGACACATTTGCCACAACAATGGCCTTAAATATAGCAATAATTATAAGGATAACACAGGACCTGGAAGTACTTTGTTCTGTTGTACAGGGGTTTGCCATCAGTTGAAGGTTACTTGATGGCTCCTAACAACAGAACAATATATAATATTAAGAGACAAGGAGTTTGGTCTTAGATGACTTCTGTACTTGAAATTTACAGCCAAGCATGGACCATAATGAATATCATATATGCCTGTTTATTACTCTTTGCTTTATTAAATTTTACTTATTAAAACATTTTGGCACTTAAAGGGATAGGAGGAGGATATGGAATGTGTGGGTAATTACCTCCTTTGCCATGGGAAGAGAAGATCTGGATGGTCCTTGCCTACTATTTGTGAATGCTTGGTTTAGGCTTTAAGGATTATCTCAGGCCAGTAGATTCAGGGGTTCTTCCAGCCCCCACAACTGCAGAAAGTCTAGATTCCATGAAAATCTGAAATTATGTTACACATTTTCGCCTCTTGATCAAACCCAGCAGCCACTCCTTGGGAAAAAGATGAAGTTTTCTGTTTCTGTAAACATTTGTAATTTCAGAAATCTTTCCAGGAGCAGATACAGAGTCACTTTGATTTGGAATCGAGTAGGTGGTAGGGAATTTGTATGCTAGGTGTCCTAGTGTACCACTCTCGGATAAGCACTGGACTGTTAACTGCAAGGTTGGCAGTTCAAATCCACAGTCCACTCCTTAGAAACCCTATAAAGGGTTGCTATGACTTGGAATGGACTTGATGACACTTAACAACAGCAACAATAACATGTGTGCAATATTGTTGTTGTTAAGTGCCGTCAAGCACTTGATCAAGGTCTTTTTGTCTTCCACTAATCACCCTGAGTTAGATTGAGTTGATGCCTTGCCTATTTGCTCCTTGTAGAGCATTCCAGAAGACTGCATCTAATTCGTTTCATATCTTAACTCTTATTATAGTAACTTGTACCACCAGCAGATCAAATTGTATCCAGCCAGGTCTTACTGTCCTCACTATTGTACCCTGGTCCACACTGCCATCATTTCTCTGCCTGGCCTCCCGTTTGGACTTCTTTTTTCTGCCAGTGTCACCAGAGTCTAATCTGATCACAATAACCATAGTTGATGTGTTTTACTTATCCTCTGAACAAAACACAAACCCTCCTTCCATTGAGTCGATTATTCTGACTCATAGTGACCCTATTGGACAGAGTGGAAATGCCTCTTAGGATTTCCAAGGCTCTAAATCTTTGCAAGAGGTTGAAGTTTGTTTCTTGTATCCACTGCTGTATCCCAAGTGGGCCTATAACAGTGCTTCAAATAAAATTGGCAAATAAGGGTACATAACAAATTTAATAACTGTTCGATGGAGGACTTGGGACTGTGGGAGACATCTTTTTGAGAATGCAGCAATCTTACCTACTAGAATGGAGCAAAGCCTAGGCGCTACAACATGTGTTGGCCAGCCATGTCCTGGTCTTGTGGATTCTGGTCCTTGGGTCAGACTCCTGAAATGTCTGGGATCTGAATCTTCTGTCTGATTGTGAAATGGAAGGAGCTTTGCTCCAGTGAAGATACTTTCTAGTACCCTACCAGAGTAGCTGAGGGAAGAAAGGATGAGGAGATACGGAATTAGGATGGGGTCGGCAGGGATGTTGCTGGACTCCTGGAATCTTGCCACTGGGAAGATAAGTGCACAATCCATGAAGAAAAGGTCCGATGGTAATCTAGGCACAGCTGAGGAAACTCAGAGCTCTGCAAATGCTGAAGATCTGCTGACTCAGTTCTGGAAATGTCTTCTATTATCAGAGATAGTCAAATTCCACAAAATAGCACATTCATCCACTGTATCTACTTGCAAGGAACGTATGAGGAGGAGGCAGATATCAACTAATTGCATACATTCTTTATTCACTTCTTAAAAGTTAATGATTTTGCACATGAAGGGGCCCTGGTCTGCAAGGACAATATTTTAAAAAGTAAAGGATAATCCGTTAGACTTGGCGCAAGGATGATGACCCTACTAGCTGCTGCCTTTTCCCTTTCAGCCATAGTGGAAGTGGGTGACGTGTATTTATTTTATGCCAGCAGGCTTGAATGTTGCAGATATTTGTTTTGCAATGACTAAAGAGGGAGGGAAGTTTTCTGAGGATTTTTGCTTTGTAGCTTCAGATATTTAGTGTTTTTTTTAAATCGGTTTCCTGTTGGTACTTGGTTTAGTATCTGTGTCAATAGCGTTTTCCTGGCTAGTCTGGTCGATGGTATGTGGAGCTGTAAATATATCTGGTTATTGGTACCATCTGCTCTACAGAGAGTGTTGGTTTCTATCGCATACCTTGTCTACATAGGTGTTCAGCTTTGCTGCAGATACTAAGACCATATACAATAAAGGCCTTTTAATTGTTCACACTTTAAAAATATGAATACACAGATACACACCATTTTTCCTCTCATTTACCATTGTTGCTTGCAGTTACACTACAATATACATATGATGCTTTATGCATTAAAAAAATAACAGCATTGCCCAAGCTTGTAATTTTTCATTGAATTCCAGTGCAATTAATAGGTCCCACAAGGCAAGGAAACAGAAGCACAGAAGATGAAAGATTTTTTTTCAAAAAGCCATTCAGGAATCTCAGGCAGAACTGGAAATGGACATCAGGAATTTGAGCTCTCTTATCTTCCCATTTCCTTTCGGGCACTGAGCCACAAGTGGATTAGAATACAGAATTAAGAGCCATTAGGGATCCAAAAGGAACCCTGTTGGCACAGTGCTTACGGCCATGATTGCTAACCAAAAGGTTGGCAGTTAAGAACCACCAGGCACTTTGTGAGAGAAAGATGAGGCAATCAGCCTCAGAAACCCTATGGGCAGATTTTTGGTGTGTGGATCAAACTCAAAACAAACCTAACCCACTGCTATTGAGTGGGTTTCAACGCATAGCAGCCCTACAGAATCAAATCAAATCACTCTTTAGGGATCCCCAGTAGAGATTTTGCAGAAGAAGACTGCCACACCTTTCTCCTGTGAAGTGACTGGTGGGTTTGAACTACCAACCTTCCAGTTAGCAACCCAACTGCTAATCTACTATGTTACCAGGGCTTCTGTGGGGATTAATTCTCTCACTTGGCAAAAATGTCAAATTTTATCACTGTTAGAAAGAGAATTCTACAGTCTATTTAAAAATTATTATAACATATAGTTTATGTATATTTGAAATTCACCCATTTGTTCCAAGTCATAATTTCATGATCTCTGTGTTGTTTTACTTGGTTGCAGAAAATTACCTGAAGAGCCCAGTCCTCGCCTCCTCATGGATGAGTCAAACATGACGTCATTGGCCACTGGGGAGTCCGTGAATGCCTCCACCGGCTGGAATGTCTCCACAAGACCTTCACTCCAGGAGATCCCAGTTGTGCACTGGGTCATCATGAGCATCTCCCCACTTGGGTTTATGGAGAACGGACTTCTCCTCTGGTTCCTGTGCTTCCGGATGAGAAGGAACCCCTTCACGGTCTACATCACCCACTTGTCCATTGCAGACATTTCATTGCTCTTTTGCATTTTCATTTTGTCTGTTGATTATGCACTTGATTATGAGCTCTCTTCTGGTTATTATTATACAATTGTCACATTATCAGTGACTTTTCTGTTTGGCTACAACACAGGCCTCTATCTGCTGACAGCCATTAGTGTGGAGAGGTGCTTGTCAGTCCTGTATCCCATCTGGTACCGGTGTCATCGCCCCAAGCACCAGTCAGCATTCGTCTGTGCCCTCCTGTGGGCACTTTCTTGCTTAGTGACCACCATGGAATACGCCATGTGCATCGACAGTGAAGGACAAGGCCACCCTCGAAGTGAGTGCCGGGCAGTGATCATCTTCATTGCCATTCTGAGTTTCCTGGTCTTCACTCCTCTCATGGTGGTGTCCAGCACCATCCTGGTAGTTAAGATCCGAAAGAACACATGGACTTCCCACTCCTCAAAGCTGTACCTGGTCATCACAGTCACCATCATCATATTCCTCATTTTTGCCATGCCCATGAGGCTGCTTTACCTGCTCTACCATGAGTACTGGTCAACGTTTGGGAACCTACACCACCTTTCTCTCCTGTTCTCCACCATCAATAGCAGCGCCAATCCATTTATTTACTTCTTTGTAGGCAGCAGTAAGAAAAAGCGATTCAAGGAATCCTTAAAAGTGGTTCTCACCAGGGCTTTCAAAGATGAAATGCAACCGAGGCGCCCGGAAGACCGTGGTAGTACCACCATTGAGACGGTTGTCTGAGGATTTTGGAGAGGAATCATGGACAAAATAGAGGCATAGAGACAATTTTTAGTTTGTGCTTAGAATATAATTTAAGTTTCTGGACTACTGACTGCAAGGTTGGCTATTTAAACCTACTAGTCACTACTCAGAAAGCCTATACACAGGGTCACAATGAGTTGGAACTGACTCAACAGCACTTAGCAACAACAGTAAAATATGAAGCTGAGTCCCTGGGGGATGGAAATGCCTAATACACTAGATAAAAGGTTAGAGATTTGAGTCTTCTTAGAGGAGCCTCTGGTAGCGTAGTGGTTACGAATCGGGCTGCGAACCTTAAGGTCAGCGGTTCGAAACTACCAGCTGCTCCGCGGGAGAAAGATGAGGCTTTCTACTCCCATAAAGATTTACACCCTCGGAAACCCTATACAGGGTCGCTATGGGTCGGAACCGACTCGATGGCACACAACAACAACAAGAGGAGCCTTGGTGGAAAGGGCTGGAGATCTACTTCCAAAAAGTCAGTCATAGAAAACCATGTGGAGCAGGGTTTACTCTGACCCACATGAGGTCTCCATGAGTCAGAGTTGAACTGATGGCAACTGGTTTACTGGTTTAAATGTGAAACAGAAGGACACTTACTCCATATGCACAAGATACTAATTAGTGGTGAGGTTTTATTCTTACACTGTAGCTTCTGGAAATGCTTAGATACGTGGCAGACTTCTATAATTTCATTACCTATCAACTAACTCAAATCTTCCTCAATGATTCCATGGACTATAAAAGTACTCTAGCATGGAAGATTTGAAGATGTGCACAGAAAAAAGAAAAAAATCTTGGTCTTCTCATGTTCCAACCAAAAAAAAAAAGGTTGGGATGGTAAGACCCAAGCAATGTAATGGAAAGAACAAGGGTTATAGGATCAGGCTGACTCCATCATTAACTACCCGTGCGATCTCAGGCAAGTGATTTAAGCTCTTGGAGCTTTATCTCCTCATTATAAATGGTCTCAATCATAGTATGTATCTCCCAGGGTTGTTGTGAGGGTATAATAACAAGAAAAATGTTAGTGTCTAATGAATGTTAGTCTCTCCACACTACTTTAATGTTAGCGTCCAATGACTGTTAGTCTGTCTTCACCACTTTAAGTGAAGCTGAAATACATTTTCTGTCTTGTAGAGCACACACACACACTAACATGTACAAATACGATGATACATTCTTAAAGGCTGAAAAGCAGTATATCCAGGCCTCCTTTTTTGCCTGCAGTATAGGCACTTTCCATGGTGTTGGTCTCTCTATACACAGATGCTATGGTGTCCCACCAGTTGTGTGTTTGGGCATAAACTCAGGAGTCCAGGGAAACCACTGGACCACTGACCACTGATGAAGGGGCTTCCCGTAGCTCCTTTATTTGGTGAGAAGGCCAGATGTGATGGAAATCTTCATTTTTGCATTCTCTGATTGTAGTTATGTGTTTCTAAGTGGAACTAAATTCCCAAGTTCACCTCATGAAGTTGGTGTGTAATTCATAGTCACAGCTTCCCACCTTTGGCCAGGTGCAAGACTCCTGAGACATTTCTTTGCACCACTCCTGGAAAGAGACACAGTGGCAGAAGCCACGACCACATCACAGAGGGGGTCTGGACGTTTCTCTCCAGACAGACCTTTGTACATCCTCCCTGAAGGTAGCTCTGCCAGCCTTGCATGCCAAGATGTATGTCTGCATCTTCAGACGCATGACTTGTTTTCACTCTGAAATCTGTCTTGGCCTATAGACTACATTGCTGTGTTTATCTTCTTCCTGTCCCACTAGCAGTCCCACCCTAATGACAATGTCTCCTGTGGCTTTATGGGCAATGAAATGTTCAAGCCCATAAACGAGCTCATTAGTATTTGTTTGAACTTTTTGTTTTTTAAAGGGTCATGGGAGCAGTGATAAAGTGATCCTCTGCTGCTGCCTGTGTCTTCTCCAGTCCTCTTCCTTTCTCAAGAGAAACAAATGGCCGGATATGTGGGGCAGCTTAGCTGGGGAGGTGGGGGGCGGTGGGAGGGAGGGAAAGGGGGATGTGTTAGTCCCAGCCAAGCTGGGAGCCAAGAGGCTGTCAAATGGTGATGACATCTGATCCAGAACCAAGGCAGCTTGCCTTCCCCAGCCCAGATGGGGTGTGGAGCGATGACATTTAGGAGGATCTTGTTTCTGATGGAAAACAGAGCATCTCCACTGGTAAAGAACAGAATCAATAATGAGATCAGAGTGACTGTTTTCTGTTTACCAGCATCCTGTTCAACGCTACCTTAGTCTCTGGGCTAATGAAAAGGGATCAAGACCAAAGGAATTGTGACCTTGAAGAGGGATCTAAAGATGATTGCATGAAAGAAATTTCCACATAAGGAAACTGTGATCAATTCATGGGAAGCACTGTTTATTGCTCTTCTGCAGAAAAAGTGGGGAAATCAAATGTGATAAGGAAAATAAAAATTCTTCTAACCTTTTAAAGAATAATACCTTGTAAAGAGGTTGGATTCATAGTTAGACGATGTTATACAGACAACTTCCTTTTCACTTTCCCCTAAATGCATTCCCCAAAGTAAGCTATAAGCTTAAAATGAAACAAAGAAGACTTAAGTAAATATGCAAAGAAGACTGGATAACTTGTACCTTTGGACATTGAGATAATTTGCCTAAATAGCGTAGGATTGCTTAGTGCCATTTCTGAGACTTCTTTGGGTCTGGGGAAGAACTTGTTCTGATAGACTGCCTGTGCTTAATGAAGGAAAAGGGCTTGTAACCTTCATGTTTATGTCCCTATGCTCCCCTGTAATGGGAGAAACATATATATGTAACCACAGTTGGGAGCTGCACATAAATTCATGTTGGGAGAATGTTCTAGGCAAAGTTGTGTGGCAGTTAAAAGAAAGGCCAGATCACATCATGTGAAGTTGAAAACAGAGGTGGCCTTTGAACTGCTTGAAGGCACATAGGATTTCCAAAGACAAAGGAGGGAAGGTGTTATAGGAAAAGCATTGAACTGCTAATCGCAAGGTCAGAGAGCCAAATCCATCAGCTGCTCCTCAGAAACATAGGGTTGCTCTCACTGGAGATACACTCAATGGCACTTAACAACCAGGAGGGAAGAAGAGGGTTCCAGGCAGCTCTAGAGCAGTGCCGTTGCTAGGCTTGGCATCACCCAGTGCTTGACTCAGTGGTCTTATATTCGACCCCACTCCTCACCTCCTCCAGTACCAGAAACCTTTGTAATGCTTCCTGTCAATTTTAATCATAGAATAATATGTGACAAATATAGCTGTAAATGGCTTCAATGTAATATTTCTTAGATTATATGAATACTAACAACCAAATTGTTTTGTAAAATCTTTCTATAATAAATTAAATTATTAGTTATAACATTATTAATAACTGAGTGGAAAAATTTTAAAAAAATTCTCCTTTTCCTTTAATTATTACTTCATTCTCAAAAGAGTTCTTAATATAGGTTCACAAATACAACTTACCATAGTATTGGAGTTAAAACACCAGAAAACTGGACAAATTGAGCAACTATGAAAACACTGACAGCAATTATAACACTATCATGTGCTTATAGTGTGTGCAGATGAAACCAGGTGATTCAAAACATCATTGTAATTAAGGAATCACGACAGATCGGACTGGAGTGCATTAGAAGGTTCAAGAAGTAAATGAGCATAGAGGTATATATATTTTATATTTGTAGATATATTGATGAATTACATGAGCTGGACTTACGAAAAATGTGTTGGTTGTCGGAACTAACTACAGGGATTTTTTTACTAAAAAATAATATATTTCTGCTGAAACACTGCACAAAATATTTTATAGACAATAATTTTGGTGTCATCCCTATGACAGGGTGTGGTCTGAACTCCCTGCACCCGGCTAGTGATGTCACTGGCTGTGCCCTCTGATCACTGGCTGAGGAAGTGGGCTCCAGAGTCCTAAGGAGTCCTGCTTGATCACGCTACTTCCAGTCTCCTTGTTGCTCTTATCTTTTGGCTTTCTGCCACCACATTCTGTGTCCCATCTTTGCATATTGCCCACAGATGGCTATTCTAACTTCTTTTCTCCACGTGGTCTTCATCTCTGCCTCAACTCAAGAGACCCTCAGCTACTCTCCATTTGAACCTGGCCCGCAGAACTGCAGGTTAGGCCTTGTTATAACCTAAAATGGATCCACTTCTGGAAACTGATGTTGCCCAGTTCCATCATCGGCCTGCGGCGTCCTGTCCTCCATGTCATCCACGGACTTGTTGCCACTGCATCTGGGTTTCCGCACCATGGAGCTCTGTTGTCTATGGCCACCAAGCTCACCCTAGTCCAAGAGCTTCCTTCTGTGCCATCCTTCTCCTTTCCAGTCAGGGCTTTGAGTCATTGGCCCAGTTGCTTGCCCGCCAGATTCCTTGAATCTCTTGCCCTTTGCTTTCCTGTCCCACTCTCTTGCCCCAGTTGTCTCCTCTTCAAACCAGGCATCAGAGTGGTGTAGAGAAATCCCAAATTAGGTATCCTACACATTTGTGGTTCTCTCCAGGGCAGGACCCTCAGCATTTCCTCAAGTCTCTTCTCTACCACTCTGGGTTGCTTTTCCCAATTCCTTCTTTCTCCCCAAGCTTTCTTCCTGGCACCTTTCTTGTCATGATCCCTCCTCACTACCATTTCTGGAAACTGAGTTCTCGGACTCCCATTTCAAATCTTCTTTTTCTCAAACTTTCGGCCTCTCTTTCTCTTCCTCATTCTCAACTGGTGACCTGTTTCCTATTTCACAAGGGGGAATAGAAGAAATAACCAGAAGAAGTCTCTCCCACGCTCCTGCCAGCATTTCCCTGCTCTCATTGCATACATCTGCACAATTGCCTCTCCTCATTTCCTCTGGAGGAGCTTACTTGCTCCTGGCTGAAAGAAGCCCCTATACTTGAGCTCCAACTCCCTCCCCCCATTACATATCCAAGGATATTTCTCCAGCAATTCTCTTTCTCTCTCC